GTTTTGTTTCAAAAAGAGACATAGGAGAATAAGTTATTTCTGTGTTGGGAAAGGACTACAGTAAAGTTTTGGTGGAATTATTGGTATTTGGTTATTAATATTTTTACATAACAGTTGGTCAAAAGCTAAAATTAGTTTGAGTTAAACATTTGTTTATTGTCTTATCTTATAGGGGTCCAGGTGGTGGTAGACCTTGGCCAAACCCAACAAATGCCAATTCAGTGAGTACATTTGTGAGACTGGATATTGTTACAGCTTGTGAAATTAACTCTTTATCATAGTAATGGACCTCTTATTTGGAATAGTATATTCAATAGCTTAGCAAAACCTTGTGCTTGTGAAGGCCTTTGAATTGTTTTGTAGTTGTTCAGTAGTGTCTGATTCTTTGTGACCCATTTGGGGTTTTCTTGGCAAAGATACAGGAATGGTTTACCATTTCCTTCTTCAACTCATTTTACACATGAGGAAAACGAGGTTAAGCGACTTGCCCAGGGTCACCCAGCCAATAAGTGTCTGAGGCGGAATTTGAACTCAGGAAGATGAGTCTTCCAGACTTTAAGCCTGGGGTTCTATCCACTGTGACACCTAGCTGTTCCTTTGAATCATTTACAATGACCAAAATATAAATTGGATAGGACCAGTATCCTATGTATATGTGTACACACACATATCAGAAATAAGTAATCAATTCTAAAGAAAATATATATACTTGAATTATGAAATTTATTGTGAGGACTTTTTTTCTACTTAGAGGAGTAATTTATGTATTGTTTGTAGATAAATAGTTTTTATAAGCATATTAATATGAATACTGCTGTTTTATCCATTATGTTAACATAGCCCTTTAGTCAGTATGCCTAAGAACAGTGTATGAACTTCCACAACTGTGATAGTCACTTAATATTTCAGGTCAGACTTACCTTTAAAATTTGTAGATCGACTGTTTTTCCTTCTAAAATAGTATCCTAAGATATTTGTATCCTAAGATATCTGTAACAGATATAACCTGTTACTCCTCCACGATCTGCGTGCAATGGTAGGAGTTTGGCCAGTCTCATTTTTTTCACTCTAATGTCTAATATGATAGTGGATTCATAAGATGAAAATTAGGCCACGTTTAGACCTTCTGAGCATGTGGAGATTTTTTCCCTGAAATTTAGAATCTTAATTTGGGTAGTACCAGGGCAAACATGAAACTAACCTGGTATTTCGTGTTGCTGTTAATTTTAATATGAAAAATAAAATAGATAAACCGTTAACCAACTTGATGTTAGAAGAAAAGGACCACAATTCATGCGTGTGTGTGTGTGTGTGTGTGTGTGTGTGTGTGTGTGTGTGATTTGGTACATTCACATACTAATTTTTCACATCTGGGAATTCATTAAAGGAAAATGACTATCTTATTAAATGGAACACTTCAGACAAGAAATTTGGAATGTATGAAAGGCATTTTTTTCCCTATGTCTTACTTTTGAAGCTTTACAAATAATTGTACCTGACCTTGAAACTGACTTCACTCATATATAAATGCTACCCAGAGATGTGCTGGGAAGTATCTAACAACCAGCTCTCAGGGGCAGGGGGAAGATTCACTGGATAAACTTTTAAGTTTATTCTGCATTATTCTACATTTTCTCCATCACTTTCTTAAGTTTATACAATCAATAGAACAGTAAATCAAGTCCTGATTTGTAGTATTTACAGATTTCTGAGATGTAAATGTTCACATTGAAAATTTAACAATCATCTCTAAAAACAACCTCCCAAAAAACCCTTCTTCCTTATTCAGATTACTATGTATTTATGGAAGTGTTGTACCCTGCTTCCTCCACGACCCCAGTAAAATGTAACGTCCTTGAGGGTAGGGATGGTTTAATTTTGCATTTTGTAATTCTGATGGTTTTTAAATAGTAATAACTTAACTAATGTTTGTTTATCTGAATTGAATCACTCAATTCAACTCACATAGAAATGCCACCTCTTCTCCTTGCTATGTATAATATTCCAGGTTCTTTCCACTTTTTTCTTCTATCTATATACTGTCTGTGGAACATTAATAACAGTAATATCAAATATGTAACCTTAATGTTTACAAAGCAATTTCTATACATTTCATTTAATCCTCACAGCTACTCTGGGTAGTGATATGGGTATATAATTCTAAGACTCCACTTTACAGATGAGGAAGCAGGCTCAGAGAGAATAAGAGTTTTGCCCATAATTTTACCAATGGTAAGTGGCAGAGAAGGAATACTGTGGTTTCTTCTGTTCCTCAGTTGAACAATATTTTCACTTCACCAGAAGCTAACCCGAAATAGAATTTTTTTTTCTGATAGTCATCTACAAGAAAACAACAGAATCCAGGGAATTCTACAGGTCTAAATATTGGATTATATACTATACTTCAAATTCTATGAATTTGAAACTGTTTCTTATTCATGCTTATATTCCCTACCTCCACCTCCCACACACGATGCCTAACACATAAATATGGATAAATATTTGTTGAGTGACTGAATGAACACCATGTCCCTATCTCCAATGTCTGATGTAATACACTGAGCAAGTTAGGTACTTAATTTTTTTTAATTGAATTGAATTAAGCTCCAGATAAGTTTAAAAGCCTAGAGGAAGAGCTTACTTGTAAGCTAGTTTACAGATTTTTGATGCCTTTTACAAAGAGCTAACTATTCTACATGATGTACCAAACTTGACGGCACATTCTGGCCACTGCATAATTAAATAACAAGCCTAGGACCCTAGGCTAAAGGAGAGAAAATGTTCCAATCAATTTCCCTCTTGATATATCTGAATTCTCTATTTTTTAATGAAAACATGTTAGTCATCTTAAGCATCATATCACTAACATAAAGAAAATTGAAATAAAGACAAGAAACTGAAGATGAATATATAAGACTGCTATTATCCTGGGAGGGAGGGGGAAGCAGTATAAGGAATACTAAAAATCAGAATGAGCCGAGATTGGTGTTAAGAATACCCCCCAAAACGGAGGGGGGTTCTTAAAACTGACTGGGTTTTTTTTTAAATAATTGGTTAAGATGATTTTAAGATAATAAGCATAACATAGAGATGGAATTATAATATCAGAAAACAAAGAGAAGTCAGATGGGCTTAACTCATATTTTGCTTCTGATCAGTTTGGCATAGTGCATCTCCTTGGAATCAGGAAGTCCTGCCTACTGCCTGTGTGACTCTGGGCAAGTCACTTAAGCTCTCTCTTCCCTAGACAACTCTATAAGACTGTAAAAAGGTGTAGATTTGCATTGATAGAGGGAGTTTCCTCATTAGGAGCTTCTTATACCAAGGTAATCATAGGTCCAGTTTAAAAAAAGTCACTGAAGAGTTCAACTTTAGTGTTGTTGCTGTTCGGTTGTTTCAATCATGGCCAACTCTTCATGACAAAGATACTGGAGTAGTTTGCCATTTCCTTCTCCAGCTCATTTTACAGATGAGGAAACTGAGGCAAAAGAGTTAAGTGATTTCCCCAGGGTCACACAGCTAGTAAGTATCTGAGGCCAGATTTGAACTCAGAAGATGAGTCTTCCTGACTCCAGCACTCTATCCACTTCACCACCTAACTGCTCAGTTTTAGTAGCTTGACAGTAAAACCTAATAGGATAAAAAATAGATCTCATGATCTGCATCCCTAGAACTGGGCCATGAGGACACATGTATATGAGACAAACACTGGGGTTATACAATGATTTGGGTTCTAGAGGAGGAGAAATGTGAACTAGATTGCATTTAGGAAGTTTCAGGGTACTTTTAATGACCTCAACCTTAATCCCTGAAAGAAAAACCAATCTTATATTTGACAATCATCTTGAGTAGAGATTCTGTCTCTGCCAGTCATAGAAACTATAGTCTCCTAAAAATTAAAAATGCACATCCCCCAAAGAGCATGTCGTCTACTTCTGTCAGTTGTAACCTATTACCAGAAAAGAAATGAGAACCAAAACCAATATCCAGAACGTCAGCAGAAAGACGGATGACTGGAAAAAGAGATTGACTGGTGATATAGCAAGAGGAGAGGATGGATACCTGGGAGATGGTTCCACTGGTATGCGTATAATGTCAGGTGAGGACACTAGTCCCTAGCCTTCCAAAGGGTGAACCCTTTGTAGAGGCTTAATGGGAAAAGGGGGCCAAGAGTCCATTGGATGAAAAAGAATCAATAGCTTGTATACTGCATTGCAGGAGGGAAAGACCCGCAGCAACTTGATCAAGGTCCTGTTATTTAAGTCCGTGGCCTGATAAAAGGTTTATTTTGACAAATATGTTGTCGAGTCCTTATTTCTTAATATTTCGCTATATACTAATAAGCATGAACATTCTTCTACAGAGGGGCCTGGTCAAGGTTCTTTTGTGGAGAGGGCAAGATGGTTTTGTTACTAGTGGTCAAATTCTGGCAGGTAAGCAGCCTGCTTGATTTAGGATCCTAGATACGGAGGAGGAAGGGGCCGCAGCGGACACCCAGTCCCGCTGCCTCATTTTACAGATGAGGAGAGTGAGACACAGGGAGGTGAAGTAAATAATTTGAGAGGTTATAGCTAGGTTGCTCAATGGTTAGAGCACCGGGCCTGCAGTCAGGAAGACCTGAGTTCAGATTCAGCCAGCGAACTCTTTGTAGTTGTGTGACCTTAGGTATATTACTTAATCTCTGTTTGCCTCAGTTTCCTCAACTGTAAAGTGGGGATAATAATAGCACCTGCCTCCCAGGATTCTTGTGAGGATCAAATAAGATAATGTTTGTAAAACATTTAGCAAGCACTATAAAAAATGCTACTTCTTATTATCATCATCATCATTGCCCAAAGTCACACAGAGTGTAAATGTCAGAGGCAGAATATGAATCCAGATTCTTTGGCTAAAAAAAAGTGTTCTTTCCCCCATATGACACTCAGTAGTTAGAAAGTAGTTGTTTGTTCTTTGTTCCGAAGAGGACCATGACATCAGGAAGGTGATGCCGTGACTTCCAAATGAATTGTATATAAGTGAGGAAGGGCTGGGCAAAGTCACCAGTCTCACTCTCTCCTCCAGAGCCATCTGGGTCCAGTGGCCAGATGTAGATCAGGATGACTAGAGGTGGCCTCGATGCAGTGTGAGATCTTGGCCTTTTCAAGTGAAGGTCTTTTCCAGTTCTCGGTTTTGTTTACATTCACTCTGACTCACATGTGGGGCTTGGGCTGGGACCTATTGTTGGCCAATCAATGAGAGCCAGAGTTATTTGGGTTGAAGGCATGGTCCTTAAGAAAGAAATTTCTTATCTAGCCATAATCACTGAATGGGCATTGCCTAAGTCAAACTGAGACCTGGGAAAGACCTTTTTTATTTTTTTTATTTTTTTTTAGTGAGGCAGTTGAGGTTAAGTGACTTGCCCAGAGTCAGACAACTAGTGAGTATCATGTGTCTGAGGTCAGATTTGAACTCAGGTCCTCCTGACTCCAGGGGTGGTGCTCCATCCGCTGTGCCACCTAGCTGCCCCCAAAAGACCTTAATTTTAAAAGGCCAGTCTCTCCCTCTGCATCCAGGGCCATCTCTTGACATCCTGATCTATATCTTGACAGTGGACCCAGGTGGCTCCAGAGGAGAGAGTGAAGCTGGTGACTTTGCAAAGGGTATAGGTTGATATCAATGTCCAAGTACTGTATCAAAATAGTTGTGTTCAGTAGCATGTAATCTAATTTTGAAAAATAGCAGTTACTGCTTTTCATGTATACAGTTGGAAAGATGACTGATTTCCATAGTTCTTGTTATTGGTAAGTTTTCTGGTTTTTGTGTTTCATGAATATTGTTCATCAACATGGGGGAGAAGTTACCATTAGTACTTATATAGGAGAACCTTAAACTGGATCATTTATATCCACAACTTTGGTTGAATTTTCCCTTGACTAAGATCTGGCCTTTGTTTTTGTTTTTTGGGTTTTTTTGGGGGGTTTTTTTGTTTTTTGTTTTTAAAAAGTTTTATTTTAAAGGAACAAAAATAAATATTACTTTTAAACACATGAGAAAACCCACTAGCTGTTGGGCTCTTCAATGCACAGTTTTAGTACATGGCACCTTCATCTTCTTTATTTAGAAAATAAACTGTTACTGGTCCATAACTGGTATGAACAGCCTCTATGACTCTGGCAAATAACCAGGAGCCAAGTCCATATAATCAAGTTGGAATGCCTTTCTGATCAGCCATCCAGGTTGTCTTGGGCTGCAAATTTGTTTTACTCTGTTTTTTTGTGGGTTCTGCTGCTTTAGAATTTGTTTAGAGCCATTTTTTATAGGTATTTGGAGAGGTTTGGGGGAGACCTCTAGCAAGTCACTGCTTTCCCTCCACCATCTTGGCTCCGCCCCTCCTGGCCTTTGTTTTTTAAAACCACAAAGTGATGATGCAGTTGTTCTTTCATTTTTCACTGCTTGAACTGTATTTCTTATTGGCAATACCCTTCCTCTTTTTTTTTTTACTCTTTTTCAATTTATCTTGAACTAAAAGTAAGAACACCAGTTCGCTTTGCTTCAGCCTTGATTCGTTGACATGAATCAAAAGAAAATAAATTGTTTTGTCCTTTTCGTATTCTAGATACCATATTCCTCAGCATCTCCTGGGAATTATGTAGTAAGTACATTTGGGTTTGTTTGCTCATTAGAATTGATGTTACATTTTACTTAGGCAAGGAAATAGTTGTCCAGATGTTAAGAAGAGCCCTTGTGTATTGGCTGAGAAGTGAACATCTGATTTATGTGTAGTTGTTTAGTCTGCCATCTACAATACATATGTTGACGTTCATTAGTAGAACAGTTATCAATCTGGTCAGAATTGCCCTGAGTGCTCTGTTTTACTTTAGCGTATGCTCTGTATCCAGTATAATACGTACACCCTGTCCAATGAAGAAGAGAGACTTTTTCGGTTATATAGTGCTTCACTTGAACCTACTTTTAAAGTCTAAGTAGAGAGTAAACCTCCCCCAAAATGTAGAGTGCATCATTCCAGCAGACTACTGACAAGTAAAAGTTAGGAGCTGGATTTTTTTCAGATGCTTTTTCTTATAATGTCCTCCTTATGTAGGAAACACTAAATGTCTCTAATACTTTGAATAAACTTAACAGCAGCTTAGTAGTTTTTCCTTGCTGCCTGCCATGCATTAAGAGCAACATTGTGTTGTACTGGTCCTTTCGCATAATTGGATTTTAATGCATTGGAAAATCATATATAATTTACAGCCTACAGTGATCTCATTTCATGAAAAGAGGTGAAATAAAGAGAAAACAATACTAAACCAAGAAACAAAGGATAAATAGATGAAACTGGAAACCTTTGTTTAGGTGGCTTTCAGAAGTTTGTGACTTTTAGCGATTATTGAGATATGAAGCATTTTGTTTATTATCAGTTAGCACAGGCAAAAAAAAAAAAAATAAGGAATGTGTTTACTTGAGACCTCAGAGCTTTTTATGACCAGTGGTATGTTAATAGGTTGTGAGTTTAAATTAATCACATAAAAGAAGAAGGAAATTATCTAGGTATTTTTACTTCTAGTTGCCTTTTTCATATTTTAACATTTTAAAGTAAATGCACTTTTGGGCCTTCAAATGACGACAGTATTCATTGTCCCTAATTAAACAAAACCCAATTTTTTCTAGGACTACATAAAATGTGAATACAGTGGAAAGTGAGATGTTTGGAAAATGCATTATTTTTAATCATAGTAATTGTGATTTATAGTAAGTTTGTAGAATTTTGAAGGAAAGTTTAAGTGCCCTGTAGCTGTTAAATAGGGTAGAGATACATTCATTAAGACACGTGATAGACTGTGTCTACCAAAGCAAAGGAAAGTAGGAATCTAGCTGGTTTATGGTTAATTTGATCTTTGTAGATAAGCCACAACCAAAGTCTTTTCGAATAACCCACATTAGCTGTGTATAGTAAATCAATTGATGTTGGACCATTCAGATCTTCACTTTATTAACACACAGTCTTACTGATTTCTAATTACTGAAGTAGGAACACACCTACAAAGAGCTGTACACATTGTTGGTGATGTTTGGTGGAAGGAAGAAAACATTAAAATTTTTAAAAAAGAAGACTGTCAAGAGGAACATATTTTGTTTACATTAAATCTCTTAATATTTTCATTTGTGCGCAACCAGTGAATCACTGGGAAAGAAAAGTATAAAAAAGTAAATAACAAACACATAAGTAATTTTCATTACATAGATTTTAAAGGCCATATTAAATGGTTTCCCTTTTTACTTCATTATGTGATATGGTTATATCACTAATGATAGAACACTGTACTTGGAGTTATGGATTCAGTGCTTTTAGAATGCTTATCTAGAATGTTTAGAATTGTCAAATATATTAAAACTAAATCGTGTTTTGCATAAGGGTAGAATAAGATAGTGATATTTCACAGAAAATAAATGGAGAAAATATTTTCCTCTGTTTTCAACTCTGTATTTTGCAAATCCCTTTATTTGCAAATAACCTTTATTCTGTGTTGTGGTTATCATTATTAATGAGATGCCTTTCTTTTCACTGAATATTTTCTGTAATTGTTTTAGGGTCCTCCAGGAGGTGGAGGGCCACCAGGAACTCCCATCATGCCTAGTCCAGCAGGTATTGGAATACAAATGACCACGTGGCATTTAATGAATGGAATAAATTCATAAAACTTAAATTAACTTGCTACTAAATAATGATTGCCTCTCATCTCTTATAGAAGAATTGTATAGGTAGTAGTCAACTATGTCCTTTAGTTATTGGTTTTATTTTAAGAAAGTACTAAGGAAATATTTGTTACTATTGGTGAGACCTTGAGCAATTAACTTAAGCCACTCTGAGCAGTGATAAAATGAAGAGCTTATACTGTCTCTGAAGTGTCTTTCAGCTCTTAAAAAAAGATTTTAATATTTTTACTTTAAATATCTGTGCAAATGCATTAATCTGTTACAGTTACTAATTTTCAGTTTAAATCCTTTAATGAGATATTTATTTTTTAAAATTGCTAAACTCTATCAACATAGGGAAATAGTCTATATAGAATTTGTAGAAAAATTTGTCTAACTTGAAGATTTGTTGAGTAAAAATAAAAGATTTAATCCAATTCTCCCAATTCATGAAGTTGCCACAAAAAAGGGAGTGATGCTTTCGGATTCCCTGTTGTTTGTGGACCTATATACCTGTACAGCTACAAATGGGACCTCTCTTCCAAATCTTTCAGATCTACCTAAGGGTGCATGTATGCCAATGGTATAAGCCTTGTAGGTCAAAGCCCTGTGGGTGCATATTAACTAAAAAAAACCAAATTAACATTATCTATGTTGCATTGTATTTTTATTTACTATGTTAAATATTTCTCAATTACATTTTAATTTGGTTCTACACTAAGGAATTTTGCAGGCCACTTTCAGTTACAGAGTTTGACTTTTTTAATATAGGCCACTCACCACCACACGGATTAGTTAGCCACTAAAGCCAGAGTATATCAGAAAGACTTTTTTGTTAATCTTTTCTACTAGGATATTTGTTAATGTTTTTAAAAAAAGATTTATAAAATCAAATAAATAGCGATATTTTAAATTATTATTACTTTTAAGGTTTTTATATAGAATTTTAAATCACATTAAATTTAAAAATTATTAGTTTACAGAAATATATCATATAAAAAGTTTGAAATGAGGTTGAAATAGTATGTTGTAAATGTTTATATTCATTGTCATTTTTTTAATAATTCAAAGTTAATAATTAATAGTGATTTTTACCTTGCTTTATGAACTCTTTGGAGTTATCCCAAAGGTAAAGCCTTTCATGGATCTCTACTCAGAACTTCCCCAAGGACAATATTGTAAAGTTCAATGGAGACAGAAACACATGAATTAATCTTGTCCATGTCTTAGTTATTGACTTTGGTTCAATTAATTTTCAATGATAAGATCCATATGTTCTTATAAACAGCATGGAAAAATAAAACCTTGTGGCTTATCCTGGGTAAAAACATATGTAAGTATTTACACAGTCTTTCATTAGTTTGTCACGGTGTGACACTTCATAGGAAAAGAGAGGGACCTCCCCGGTGAGGAAAATCTCAATACCAATACAGATTGGCCCCTGCAGTTCTTAGAGAGTTGTCTAGAGCACTGGAAGGTGAAGTGATTTGGCCAGTGTGTGTCAAAGGTGGGACTTAACTTCCAGGTCTTCCAGGGTTCAAGGCTGGCTCTCTCTTCTACCACTCTGCCTTCCGTGTGTGGTATGCATAACCTCTACTAACTATTAACATGGTAACCCAGGACACAGTATGTGCTAATCAATAACCATCCAGTTAGTTAAGGTCTGGGAGGTTACTGGTGGTCTGTGCCCCCAGATTCCCACTCCCCAATTCTCTTCTTTCATCTTTGGTCAGAGGAAAGTTAGTTACTCACTAGATATCAGATGAGTGGCCCACTTTGCAATGCCATTTCCAGGGTAGCTGCACAGAATCTTCAGTTAATCATACTGACCTTATTCCTCTCCCTCTGGTATTAGATTGGTTGCACACAAAAATGGTGAATGAGTGAAAAATAAATTCTATCCCTCTTCTTTTCACCTCATAGAAGCTTGGAATATGTGTTGAATTCTTCCCCTCTATACCTGCCTTTACTATGTAAAGTTCATTTTCCCTTTAATCCTACCCAAAAACCAAGGCTATTAAACTTTACAAAAATCTTTTTGATATTTCTTTTAAGTAATCCAATGTTTTGCTTAGAAAATAATTTTATTTAGTAGATAAAGATTTTCCATAACCAATTAAAGGCTAACTTGGTATATGCATTTCAAATATTTTGGGGGCGTGGTGCACTGATACAAAGGTAAAACTGAAGTACTCAGACAACAAACACACCTGCATGACTATGTCCAAAGAAGTCACAAGTCTGCTTCCGGGATAGCCAGCAACCTTGGGGCCTGGTGGCACTGAAATGAATGAAAGAAAGTGAAAGGACTTTACATGTCCTCAGAAGCTTTATTTATTGTTGGTAAGAAGGAAACAGAAATTTTCTTGTACCATTCCATTGTCACAATGGTAGACAAAGAAGCAGGATCATCAGTTCCAGGTTAAGAACCCTCAACCAACTGTTGACACAGCTATTGCCATGGTGCTAAGTAATTTCTGTCTTCAACACAGTGAACCAATTCACATAGAATTAATGAATCTCTGGGCACAGTAAATCCATTATCATAGGGCAGTATTACATAGTTAATGGTTGTTCTTAGAAGAAAAAATTTCAAGATTTCTGTACCTTACTCACAGAAATATCCATTTGAATTTACAGAAATCTAGAGAATTAATTGTCATTAAGTATAAATGTTTTAAAAGTGATGCAGCTACTATAATGTGAGGTGTATTATTGTACTTCATACTTACATACATAGACTCAACACATTTTTAAATTACTGTATATATGAGCTCAAGTGTATGAAAAAAAATTATTGCCTCAGCTGTTTTGGAAGAAGGCATCTTACACTTCAGTTAGGTGATTTGTTTATATTCAGATTGGATAGGCTTCTTCTTGTCTTTGTCTTGGAACTAAGCCAGAGGATTCCTCTAGCTCCTGCTAATTATTTGAATAAATTGAAAGAAAAAAGGAATATTCTCAGAGCTTGAGGAGAAATGAGAGACTCAATATAATCACTCTGGCTTTAGGAGATTTGGTCTATATCTGCATATAGTCAATGAAGTGGAGAATTAAGGCAAGTATCTAGTTAATTCAATGAGAACAAATGATTTTACCTCAATTTTATAGACTTCTCAAATAGTAGTTGTTGTTTTTTTAAACAGCTTCATGAAAATAATTGTCTCACTTCTCCATGTCACTGCCTATTTATAGGCTTTTAATCATAATAGGATTGAACTGTCAAATCAACTGAAAAATGATGACTGGCACCTATTTGTTAATAAGCCATACTAATGCCTGTTTTAGATGATGCAGCTAAAAACATGTCTAAACATTTACACAGTCTTTCGCTAGTTTTTCACTATGTAACGCCTCATGTGTCTTGATAATAAGGAAAGATATTAACGAGCTAATATTTTGTTTCAGATTCTACCAATTCTGGAGATAACATGTATACTCTAATGAATGCAGTACCTCCTGGACCCAACAGACCTAATGTAAATATGAAGCTATTATTAGTTTTTTCTTGAACGTACACTAAGTCCTTCAGATTTGCAAAATCGGTTCTTTTGGACGTTTTTAAAGATTCTAGGCAGTCTAGACAAAGCTACCAGAGGAAAATGAAATTCTCTTCAAATTCCCTAATTAAGTTTAACGAACAGAATTGTGAAATTCCAGGAGTTCTGTCCTATTGGCACATTGAATAGACAAAAGAAATTTTATAGAGGTGGCATTTGAATATAATTTAAAATAAAATAAGTTATTAATGGTCTCTGGCTTATTAATTATATTATGGGAAAATTAGGAATTCTGGGTATTCTATGTAATAAGTTCATGTCATCAATTTTATAGTGGCTCATTGTTTTTCATGTAGTGGTGACTTGTTTTTTCCCTTTCCATACCAAAACGATTTTTATTATTAGCTGGGTTTTCCTGACATGTTATGAACTAGGATAACAATATGTGCCATGAGATTAGGAAATCTAGGTCCCAGTTGTTAAAATGATCCAGCACTAAAGCAATGATCCCTGTTTGAGTACTTACTTTTTGTAAAATCAGAACCCCTTCAGTTTCACAGTATTTAGACTCCAAGTTGTATATTATGTTCAAATCCTGATTTTGAAATGTATAGTTTATTCATAAGGAAAGTATGCCATTGAAACAAGTCCTTTAAAAAGACCACCTTGACCTGACTTGCCTCTATCAGCATCTATAATTCTAGGAATTGAGAACCATGAAGTAGAAGCTAGGGCCAAAAGAGGAGTCCCAGCTTTGTCACCTACTAGTTTTGTGATCTTGAGTAAGTCACTTTGCCGTTCTTAGCCTCAGTTTCCTCATCTGTAAAATGGGGATAATAATATTTACACTAGCTATCTCATAGGGTTATTATGAGGATCACATGAAATTACATGATCTCACTGAACAAACAATTGTAAGCTTAACAGGTACCAAATTTTTTTAAAAAAATTTTTTACTTCATCTTTAGAGCAAGAATGTGAGGTACAATGTGTAAAATAAATGAGACCACGAATGCAGCACTTTATAAACTTTAAATAAAGCACTATGTAAGTGCCAGCTATGCTCCTATGATTATTACTGTAAATGACTGGAACTGATACTATAAAATATTGCCATGCCAGTGGTTGTACAAACCAGGGAATTGGAAATGTCAGTTCTGATGCTGGCATAGTGCTTAGAAAGAATCCTTGTTGACACAAGCCAACCAAATCTTTCAGGCCCACATTCTGTTTGCTTGTTATGGTGATGCAGATTATCAATTCTGTTTCTTTTAGCATGAAAATAAAATCCTGTCAGGATTTTTAGAAGCTGAGAATTTGGGAATATCGAAGCATTTGGAGTATTACTTTCATATAAGTGTATATACCCATAGGAAGAAATCTTCCAAACACAAAAATTTTCACAATTCAAGGAATAAGACTCACATACTTTTTTTTCATTCCATCTCTCAGATCTGTGTGATACATTTCTAATCTGATTATGGTAACAGCCAGCAGTGGGAGGAGGAATCAGAGAGATCAACAGGCCTTTCTTGATCTTCCCAGCTGACAGTGCTTCCTCCCTGAATTACCTCGATTTATTTGTATATATTTTATGAATACTTATTTTTATATTATGGTAGTAATAGTCTACTTTAAGGTTTTCAAAGTGCTTTACAAATATTATCTCATCCTTAATGAGATAATGGCAAAGCATCATTTATAGTCTCAGTTCTAGTTATTTACAATAATAATCAATCATAGGATCATAGCTGGCACTTACAGAGTACTTTATTTAAAGATTATAGTATTATATCCACGATCTCATCTGATCCTCTCAATAGCCCTGTAAGATAGCTACTACAAGTATTATTATTAATAATTAGATTTGACTTAAACAGCTTGGGAGATAGATGCTTTTATTATTCCCATTTTACAGACGAGGAAACTTGGGCACAGAGAGATTAAGTGACTTGCCCAGTGTCAAATCGAGCTCTCTATGCACTGTGCCACTTTGCTGCCACGTATACATGTTCTTAGGTGTGCATGTTATCTATTGACTGTTGATGCCTGGACTCTTTCATTTATGTTTTCGTATTCCCCAGCACCCAGCCCAGTGCTTGGCATATAGTGGCTACTTAATACATGGTTATTAATTGACTGGTTAGCTCCATGTGCAAAAAACTGTAGCAGTTGCAAAGTTATATGACGTAGTCCTTGTCCTAAAGTGACTACTGGTCTAAGAACGACAGAGCTGAAACTCAGGGTGGAAGAACAGTGGGAGAAAGCATTATAAATTATATGCATGTGTTCCCAATCAGAGTTGTTATTAACAGATACTTGATTATTGAGGACTGAGTTGTACCCAGACTTTAACTTAGGCTTTTGAATTTATGATCACTCGTTTTCATTTTTTTTTAATAGTTTCCAATGGGCCCAGGGTCAGATGGTCCAATGGGTGGATTAGGAGGAATGGAGTCACATCACATGAATGGATCTTTAGGTAAGGAAACTAAAAATTATATTTAATGTCGTGGCAGTTCTTGATGCAAGGTGTTGATATATTCTAAATCACAGTGTTTGATTGTTGTTGGTATGGTGCTTGCATTTCATCTGAAAATATGAAACTGTTTAAATGCTCAAATCCAGCTACAGATTCACAGTTGTTTATTTTAATCTATTAAAATGTGTCTAATCTTAAGTTAATGGGCATAGAGAATATTGGTTAAATATCAATTGCATAACTGTTCTTTTTTTAATGATTAATATCAAAAATGACCATTTTATCTCCTACTAGAAGGCCAACAAAATCTCGACCCTTTTTTGTGTTGAGTTCTTGCACTCTCTTTTACTCTGAAAAGTCTCATGACCTGCATGCTCTTCAGTTTCTTTGTACATAAAGTGAAGAAGTTAATTATCATTTACCTCTTTTACCAGGCTACTCTGAAAATCAAAATATATACTCTCTCCATGTAATTTCTTTAAATAAGTTAACTGAATTTATGCCTATAAACTTTGTAATTGGAGAATGAGAAGTTTTTTAAACTCTTAAAAAGCCAAGCGGTACAGGCTGTGTTATGCTAAGGAACAAATCAATATATTTATTTGTTATGTTATATAATATGATATTATATTGTTACATATGTCAGTAACTATTTTTTTTACAATCTTTTAAATCTTATCATCCAGCATTCTATCAACTGGAGAACTCTGTGAGCCTAAACTTCTGTGTTCCCCAGTACAGTGGCCAGGGATATTCCTAATGATGATTTGGAGGCAGTGCAAGAACCTGCCCTAACTACTGAATCATGAAATTCTGAATCAGAGAAAAATTAAGTCCCATTCTGAGTAGCTAGAACACACAGTTCTTTTTATTCTGTTCAGATTCTTGGGAACATGCTCATTAATATGAGGTATATTGAGTAGCAGGTCTCCACTACATTGAGAGCATATTCTAAGGAGAATCTGTGGAAGTCTGATGAACAGGAGGCCACAGGCCACGAAGGCAGGGATGGGTTGTGACCTGTCACAGGGGTTGGAGGACCCCCACGACTAAGATAAAAGGAGGATGGAAGTGTCAAAGGACCGAGAGTACTCTGCTCACCAGAACACGAGTAATCATACCAGTACTCCATATCTGTTTGCTAACCACCTGATATGACAAGATCATTGATTTAGAGGGAGAAGTAAACTTAAAGACCATTTAGTCCGAACCCCTCATTTTATGGAACCCCTAAATGACACTAAATGACTTGGCTAAGATCACACCGGTAATTAGTGGCAGAGCCAATACAGGAACCCAGGTGCTTTGACTCCAACACTCTTTCTTTCTTGCTTGCTTGCTTGCTTGCTTGCTTGCTTTTTATTTTTTCTTCTTCTTTTTTTGTTAATTTATTTATTTTTAGTTTTCAATGAGTTCCAAATTTTCTCCCTATCTCATCCCTCCCCCCATCCCAAGATGGCATGCATTCTGAATACCTCTTCCCCTAATCTACCCTCCCTCCTATCTCCCCTCCTCTTCTCTTATCCCCTTTCTTTTCAGTTTTCCTGTAGGGCAGAATAGATTTCTATACCTCATTTCCTGTATATCTTACTTCCCAGTTACATGTGAAAACAATTTTTTTTAACATTTGCTTTTAGAGCTTTGGGTTTCAAATTTTCTCCCTTCCTCCCTCCCCAACCATTCTCATTGAGAAGGCAAGCAACTTGATACAGGTTATACATGTGTAGTCATGCAAAACACTTTCATAGTAGTCATGTTGTGAAAAACAAAGTACATTTCCCTTAATGCTATCCCCATCCCCCATTTATTCTATCCTCTTTTGACCCTGTTTTTCTTTAGAAGTGTTTGCTTCTGATTACTCCCTCCCCCAATCTGCCTTCCCCTCTATCATCCTTCTGCTCTCTTGTTCCCTTCAGCCCCCTATTTTCCTGTGGGATAAGATAGATTTCCATACCCAATTGAGTGTGTATGTAATTCCCTCCTTAAGCCAAATATGATGAGAATAAGATTCAGTCATTCCTTCTCACCTTCCCCTGTTTCCCCTCCACTGTAAAAGCCTTTTCTTGTCTGTTTTATGTGAGATAATTTGCCCCATTCTACCTCTCCCTTTCTCCTTCTCCCACTATAATCCTCTCTCACCCTTTAATTTTATTCTCTAGGTATCACCCCTTCATCTTCAACTCACCCTGTGCCCTCTATTTATCTATCTGTCTGTGTATATACATACATATAATTTTTCCCTCCAACTACCCTAATACTGACAAAGGTCTCATGAGTTATAAATATCATCTATCCATGCAGGAATGTAAACAATTCAACCTTAATAAGTCCCTTATGATTTCTCTTTCCTATTTATCTCTTCATATTTCTCTTGAGTCTTGTATTTGAAAGTCAAATTTTCTATTCAGCTGTCTGCTCTTTTCATCAAGAATGCTTGAAAGTCCTCTATTTCACTGAATGTCCATTTTTCCCCTGAAGGATTATACTCAGTTTTGATGGATAGGTGATTCTTGGTTGTAATCCTATCTCCTTTGCCCTCTGGAATATTATATTTCAAGCCCTGCGGTCCCTTAATGTAGAAGCTGCTAAATCTTGTGTCATCCTGATTGTCCAACACTGTTTCTACTGAATCATTTGGTGCTGAAATGAGGAATTTATGAAGATTTTCAGGGGGCAGTTAGGTGGTGAGTCAAGAAAACTCATCTTCCTAAGTTCCATTCTGACCTCCGACATTTACCAGCTCTGTGACCCTGGGCAAATCACTTAACTCTGTTTGCCTCAGTATCCTCATCTATAAAATGAGCTGGAGAAGGAAATGGCAAACCACTTCACTATCTTTGCCAAGAAAACCCCAAATGAGGTGATAAACACACTGACATGACTGAAAAACGACTGAACAACAACATGATTTCCAGTTGTTCTTGCCACATAAAAAGAGAGTTAGCGGAGGGGAGAGGAAAGAAAACTAGAATGAAGAAAAATCCCAGAAGTGCAATAAGATAAAGAGAAAAAATGGTTTATTGGCCCAGTAGATAAAGCACTGTACTTGGGGACAAGAAAGACGTATTCAAATACTCCCTCTGATATCTTTTAATTGAATGACTGTGGACAAGTCATTTAACTTCCCAGAATAATTCCCCATCTGTTAAGTGGGAATAATGATGCTTATCATACTTATGATACAGTTCTTTTGAAATTAACATTAGGTGATGTATTTAAAATACTTTGCAAACTTTAATGCATTACATTGTGTCAGTTATTATTACTGCAGTGAAATTTATTGAATTGCATTGGATGAAATCAAGCACGAATAGTTGCATTCAGCACCAAAGACAGAAATGCCCACATCAATAAGATCATTGAATCTATTGAAGTATTTAGGAATTGTTTTTAAGGCAGTCAATGAATTCACAGACTTCGTGTTATTATACTGTACCTAATATACAACCTTAGCTGTAGGTAAAAGCACCTTAAATGAATATACTGTTTGCACCTTAGTTTGAAGTTAGAAGTTTATTACAATGTTTTCAAACCTGATATCTATTTCTGTGGCTCTCTGGTCAGTGTGCCTTTGACTAGCATGTGGAAAAAAAGATTTTGGAGCTTTTAACTATACACATAAATATAGATAGAGACATACTGTTTGAACTTTAAGTGGTAATTCTTTAAATGTAAAAGTGTGTATTTCTTCATATGTGCTCAGAGACTTAATAACAGTAACTAAAATCCTAGCAGTAGACTCAAAATGTAGGAATCTAAGGATTTTTCATGATGAGCATATCGCATTTAGCTACACAAAAGAAAAAAAATCTACTTTAGTGAATAGAATTTTTAAATACTATGATTTCTCAAGAGATATTGATGTCCCCATAACAACTGAATTCCACTGGGAACTACATCTTTCTGTCATATTCCACACATCATCCTGTCACAATCAGAATCACCCGTGCAGTTTTTAAAGACAAAATATTTCCTGGAGTTTTAGCACACTTTGAAAGATGAAAGGTCTTAAACATACATATTTCAGCACTTTTATAGTTTTTTCTTTAAAAAAAACTGTAAGAAGTAAGTCCCCAAAGAAAAGTAAACAGAATCAGAACTATTTACACAATGATGACAGCAATGTTAAAAAAAGAAATGAAAGACTACAGAACTCTGATCAATGAAATTGGGAAATCCTGACTTCAGGGAAGTGGTGGTAAAGCATGTTCCCACCGCTCTGCAGGCAGGTAGCAGAGTTTAGGTGCGGAATAAATAATTGCTTCAATCCTCTGTGTTGCTTGTGTGTGAGAGGATAGCCACATCCGCACAGTAGCAAACAGATTCAGTCAGTCATTTTTCAGTTCTGACTCTTCATGACCCCATCTGGGGTTTTCTTGGCAAAGATAGTAGAGTGGTTTGCAATTTCCTTCTCTAGATCATTTGACAGATGAGGAAACTGAGGCAAACCGAGTTAAGTGACTTGCCCAGGGTCACACAGCTGGTAAATGCCTGAGGCCAGACTGGAACTTACCAAGAGAAGTGTTCCTGACCCCAGGCCTGGCACTCTGTGCACTGCCTTTATAACATATAGCAAATTTGTAAAGTGTAAGGATTGTTAAAACTTGGGTCATCTCAGTATCTATAGGAAAACAGTGTTTTTATTTCAACTTTTATCAGTCAGTCAGCAAGCATTTATTAAGCACTACCTATGTACCAGGCATTGTGCTAAGTGCTGGAAATACAAAACAAGACACAAATGGTTCTTTACCTTAAGAAACTCATATTCTAGTGCAGGAGATAAGCATGCAAGATATCAAGAATAGGTGGGTGGTCATCCTAAAAGAAAAAGCAGAAGGTACAATTTGTGCTAAGTCCTGACGGAAGCCATAGAAACTAAAAGATGAACATGAAGAGGAAAACATTCTGGGCGGAAGAGACAGCAAGTTCAAAGTCAGAGTGGAGTACAAGGAATAGCAAACCCACTCACTGTGGCTGGATCGTAGATTACATGGGGTAGAGAGAAATGTTAGAAGACAGAAGCAGTAGGAAGGACAGGTTGCAAAGAGCTTTAAATACCAAACATGGGTCTTTTCTATTTAATCCTGGAATGTAAAAGGAAGTCCCCGGAGTTTACTTAATAAAGAGTGTGAAATAGCTAGAGCTGTGTTCAAGGAAATTCCTTTGACATCTAAGTGGAAGATGAATTGGAGTGGGGAGAGAGTTGAGTCAGGAGACCAGTTACAAGCCTATTACAGGAGTCCTGGCAGGAGGTGAAGGGGCTGTATGGGAGAGATATGCTGGTAGAAACAATAAGATTTAGCCACATATTTGGTATGTTGTGCAAATGAAGGGTTAAAGATGCTACTGGAGTTGTAAACCCGAGTAACTGGGAAGTTAGGAGTACCTCCAACACTAATAGGGAAGTTAGGAAGAAGTGTGGGTTTGGAAGCAAAGAAAATGAACCCTCTTTTGGACACATTGAGTCTGAAATCTACTCTAAGATGTCCAAAAAGCTCAGGACTGTGGCTCAGAAGAGAAACCAGGGCTGGATAAAGGGACCTAGGAAACATCTGCAAAGAGATGGTGATTGAATTCATAAAAGGTGAGGAGATGGCCAAGTGAGAGAGTGTAGAGGAAAAAGAGAAGAGTGTCCATGATAGGACCTTGGATAACTAACTAGGATAACTTGGATAACTAACTTGGATAACTAGTTCATGGTTATAACATGGATGAAGAATCAACAAAGGAGCCAAGGAGAGGTCAGATAGGCAGGAAAGAGCAGTTGTTAGTAAAGCCCAGATGTCAGAAGCTGCAAAGAGGTGAAGAAGGATGAGACTTCAGAACAGGTCATTGGCTTTGACAATTAAATCATTGGTTTGGAGAGGACAGTTTCAGTTGAAAGAAGAGATTGGAAGCCAGAGTACACAGGCTTACAAAGAGAGTGAGAGCAGAAGTGGAGACACTGAGCGTTGATGGCCTTCTCAAGGAGCAGAAATATAGGATTATAAAGAATGGGGATGGTTGCATGAGGTGAGAATTTTTTAAAGATAGAATCAATGAGGAGTTTTATTCTTTTGGTTTTAGTGATTACTCTGATTCATTCCTATCAAATATACATTCAATTAAAATTTTCTCTCTTTAAGCCCCTCCTAAATTAGGAGAGTGACAGGTCTCTTCCAGGAACCAGGAACTCCTTAGCTAAGCAAAGATTATATAGAATGGCTTAAAACTTGCCATTTGGGAGCAAATCTCCAGACATTGTAACAAAACCTTAAATGGCACTTTTCTATCAAGACTAACCACAGCTTGTCACTTTCCTAACCAAACTCATAGTGTGGGGGGAGGGAAGTATTTATTAAGTGCTTATAATGTGCAAGGCGCTTGTACTAAGCACTTTGGATACAAAGAAAGGCAAAATCTGAGACTGCAAATATGGTGGCAATAATAGTGGTAACATTGGTGATCAAGCAATGAGTGTAACTGGAGTGGGAAACTCTAAATGCATCCAGTGTGGCAACTACGAGGGATCCCAGAAGATCTTCAGATAAGAAAACTGAGACTCAGGCCAAATGATTTGATTTGCTCATAGTCACACAAATAGAGTTGTCCTTTCCTTTCTGCATATTTCTTTTCTCATGAAATAAGTTAATTCTCTTGTTTATAGAATTCCACACTGCCTTGTTAAAAAAAAAAAAAAAAACCAAGTGATCGATAAATGTTTGTTGGCCTGAATTCATTTAATTGAATGAAAGACTTTGAGGTTACTTGTTTACTGAACCAGAGTTACAGGCATTACCTGCAGCATGATTCCACATGGTGCCCCTTCTGTACATATAAAACCTCTAAACCTGTCATTCTGCAAAAAGTTTATGAATCACCTCCTGACAGGGAGGTGATGAACTTAAAATGTGGAGGGAGACATACTTTTTTGGACATGGCTAATGTGGGGATTTTTATTTAGGTTTTTAAATTTTAAAAAAATTAAGAGGAGAGTGATGGGAAGGATAAATTAATAGAAAAATACTTGTTGCTTGAAAAATTTAAAAAGATTAAAACTTTTTAAAACAATGTAAAAGTGCAAGGGGGAAAACGTTTATGAAACAGAAATGGAGGGAATGGGGTTAATCAATCGAGAGTCTGTGTTTCTCTGTAGTGAGCAAATAGTGTGATAAAAAGGCATAAATCCAGTTCACACTTCTTGCAGTTGTGGGACAAGACTGTTCAAAGCTCTGAGAATGTCTTGGCATCATAACGAAGGAAGCAAGGTTGAGGTGGGTGGTGGAGGGAGACAACTGATGTCTGATGTAAGTTCACATCCTACGTCTGACTTTATCTGTGTGACCATGAGCAAAGCACTTAACCTGTCTAAATCTTAGTTTCTTCATCTGTAAAATGGGATAATACCTATAGTATCTACTTCAGAGTTGTTTTGAAGCTGAGGCAAGATTATGTAAGTCAAGTGCTTTATAGATTTAAAGCACTAGCTACATGACAGTCATTGATATTAGCAATGTAATCGAACTTAGGGAGCTAGGTGGCGCAGTGGAAAGAGTGCCAGGCCTGGAGTCAGGAAGACTCATCTTCCAGAGTTCAAATCTGGCCTCAGACACTTACTAGCTGTGTGAATCTGGGCAAGTCACTTAACTCCATTTGCCTCAGTTTCCATATCTATAAAATGAGCTGGAGAAGGAAATGACAAATTATTCCAGTATCTTTGTCAAGAACAATCCAAATGGGGTCGTGAAGAGTTGGACATGGCTGAAAATACCTGAACAGAACATAGAGGTGGAGCTACCTTCTTTTGCTTTGACCAGTCCTATAGTTTGCCACAAACAACCAGCCATAAAGAATTTTGACACAGTCGATTTTGTGCCATGAAAACTCAAAGGTTAAGCCTCAGGTTCCTTTTCTGTCTCACAAGGGGGAATATGAAAAACCTAAATAGGGCCGTGGGAAGGGAAGGGGAGACACTATATTATTTACAGTGCACTGATAGTTGCAAATACCTTTGTGTTTTTAAGTATGCACAGCTACCGATTTGCCTGGATTTCAAAATATTTATAAAGAGCCTGTTTTTCAGAGTATGATTTACATCTGGATGGGCAACCCCATTATACATAGTCCTTAGACAAATATTTGGGATGAAAAATGAACTGGACCCATAAATGAGTAGGAAGAGCAAAGGAGGCTGCATTGCTCTGGAGAATCTACGGAGTGCTTTTAGTGAACCCAAGTTTCCCTTCAAACAAAGGCCCATCTTTTATAAATTCAAGAGTTTTCTGGTGATACTTTATGGCTTCCAGCCACATAACACCACAGGCTCCAGAGAATTTAAGTTATGGGTCACCAAAGGTCAATAGAGAGGCACACCCTATACGTGAGTAGGCCGCAAGCTAACATGGCATGTCATGCAGGGGAAGTGGCATAGATGACATTATCAGAAAAATGTATGACCAGAAGAGGAGGTGGGCACATAGAGAGAGACACTGGCTAATTGCCAGCCCTCATTCCTTTAATGGTATCCTTGCAATGTCAAGAGATGTAGATTAGCATTCCCCTCCCCCCACACACACACATAACATGTATAACACGTTTCATGAATGCCCTTTGAAGGATTTAAGGAAAGACATGAACAAGAGTCACTCAGTGAAAATGCAGTTAGAGATCTCCATTGTTGGTAACAGTACCTACAGCGATAAATGAAATCACACACCCATGGAAGTACGAAAGATCACTGTCTCTTGTTCCTCTTTATTACAAAGTACTACGTTTTCTTTCTCTGTCACTTTGCTTCTAATTAATAAGTTTTATTAGTAGTGAGCTTATTAATAAAGTATTTTATATGATAGCTACAAACGTTCTTAGCTGTAAACACTTTGCAGAAGCTTCATGTGCATTTGGTAGATGGTTTCTTTCAGTGTTGCTAGCTAAAATCAACATACTTTCAATAATACATATCCTCACTCAGAAAGAATTTATTAATCCTGTTTATTTCTAGCTTTTAAAATAAGCCATACTATTATTAGAATGTATTGTTAGAATGATGATGCCAAAAATTACTAGTGTTTTGTTTAAAACTATAGTTCATCTTTTGCTGTAGGGCCACCATTCTGCAGTAATGGCTTGTGTAGAAACTCGTACTCCCTCTGTACCGAAAAAGGAATGAATTGTTATTATTTTTCATTTCTTTCATGTATCTTCATAAAAACAAAATATCTTAGTTCTTTTGAAGACAGAATTTTGAAAGACCAACTATAACAATGAAATAATTCTGTGAAGCTCTTATGTATTTATAGAAGGTTTGACATGGAAGTTTTTAATATTGGTCATGGTCTTGCTGGTTCTGTCTCTTTTCTGGTTTCCAAGGATCTATAAGAATTTACTTTTTTAAAAAAGTTCTAGTAGGCTGATCTTATAGTGGGTGAGACCCAGGTTCAAGTTCCAGGGCCGGGTTGTCTTGGGCACGTTCCTTAAGCTCTAGATGCCACTTAGTAGCTATCTTCAGCTGCAGAGTTGGAAAAGAGTGTCCAGTCTGCCTCAGTGAAGTGAGCTTCTGCACTAGATGGTTCCTGTACCAATGAAATCAGATCCAGACTAGTAAAATAAAACAAAACAAAAAATCTACCTGGGGATAGAGACATACCTGAAAATCAGACCAAATGAGGAATATTTGTTCCATGAAGAAGTCTTTACTTCCACAAGAGTCTTATTGATGAACCCTGGTAAGGATTTCACCATGGGTTTTTTGTTTGTTATTTGTTTTTGTTTTCCAAGGGTGGAAATATTTCATGAATTTGCCACCGTGCACCAGGAGTGATTCCTATCTACAAATTGGGGGGGAGGGAGAGACTTTTTATTTTAGATTCACAACAGAGGGTAAGTACTTGAGATGTATGCACTGAAAAATACATTTGAAGCACAGAATACTAAAATTTGGAAAGTAAACTTTGGTTGAATGTACTTAGATACTAATGAGGGTTTTGTGTGTGTGTGTGTATTTTGTTTTGTTTTTTCAGGCTCAGGAGATATGGACAGTATTTCCAAAGTGAGTATGTTGTATATTTTTTGCTAAATATTTAGTCTGAATTGTTAAATTATCTTATGAGCTTTACTCTTAACCATGATAGCTTGATGTTTAAAACCAGTTGGAAATGGTAAAATGGTTCTTTTGACTATCCCTGAATGTGCCGGTGGTTATTAACAGAACCTACCCAATGTGATTAAATCATGGATAACCAATTTAGCCATATTATATTGTTATTTTATTTAAAAATGAATACCACTGAGAAAGTAACCTTTTGAAAAGGTTATAAAGTTTAGTCAAATATGAGAAAAGAGATAAAATTAAGGATATTGTCTATTATATTATATTTCACAAAGATATTAGGCAATCCTGATTATTTAGTGATTATTCTCATTTCCCTAAAATGGAGTAAATCAAAGGGAGTTTATATTAAAACAAGGAGAAAAGTGAATATTGCAATAGCATGTTGTCTTTTTACTATTAGTAGTTTAGGAATCCAAAAATAAGTTTTTACTTATATGTATATTTTATTTCTAAAGAATACCTTGCTGCTTTTGGGTTCATTATAAATGCAAAAAAAATTCCATGCTTGTCAGAAGTACAGTGTAGCCAGGTTTGGTGGCACGTGCTTAAAATCCCATCTACTAGGGAGGCTGAGGGAGGCTGGTGGATTGCTTGCGTTTGGGAGTTCTGAGCTGCAGTGCAGTAAGCTAATCAGTTGTCTGTACTAAATTTGGCACATATGGTGAATCCTTGAGAGCAGGAGTCCCAGAGGCTACCTGAAGAGGGGTGGGAATTAGTCCAGGTCAGAAATGGAACAGATCAAAGTTTCCATGCTGATCATCAGTGAGATCAGGCCCGTGAGTGGCTGCTTAACTTTCAGCCTAGATGAGATAGGGAGACCTAGTCTCCAAAACAAAACAAAGCAAACCAACCAACAAACAAAAACAGGAACAGTAGTGCAATGTAGGTGTGACTGATAGGACCTGTGACTACTACTGTTGAAATGAGTGCATTGGACCATTGCTTTTCATCTAGAGGTTATAGAAATTCATTAAAGGATCATATCATTTCCTTTAATTTGTCTATGTAAAACTGCATGACTTCCCCAGAAGTTGAAATAAGATTGTATGAGGAAATACTGTTTTAAATTAAGACTTCAAGTCAATTGTTTAATTTGAAATATGACAGCATGTCTAGGTTGGCTTATTTTGCATAGCAACAACAAATTTGGCAAACAGCTAGGACACCTGTATTTAGGGGCAATCAAGAAGGCTTTTTAAAATCATCTCTTTCCTTTGCATAAACATTTGTAAAATGTTTATAAGTGAAACTAGGATACCCAAGTGACAGAAATGACCTGGCAACAGGATCTTCAGGAAGGCTGACTTTTCAAAATTAGGACAATATATGTAATTCCTTTCTTTTTTTCTCTGTGGACCAGGGGACAACTGGAGCTAGAAGATAGTCATTTCATTTACCAGCCCAATTATTTCAATCTAGTTCTAATCTCTTCTACAACACCCTTTCCCCCACCTCTCAGGAGAAAACATGTGCACATGCCATGTACTCCTCTTTTTTTTTATTTTTTTTTTACCACTCACATTTAGTTAGTTCTAATACAAGCAATCTTTTAAAAAACATTTACATGTATGTTTTCACTGATGCCTATCTACCTTACCCTTTTTATCCTTCCCCTAATAAGCCCAGTTACATCAAGAAGATCGCTTTTCCTCTTCCTTCCTTAGTTTTTTCCATCGCTTTCTCTCTTTCCCTTTCTTTCTTTTTTCCCTTTTTTTCCCCCATCCCATTTGAAATCCAAAAATAACCTCAATCATGGCAGATAGGCATAAAAGTAGCACTAGAAGTATATCTTTCCCAAGGGAAATGAAAACCACAAGTTTTGAAACAAGATCTCATAAAGAAGCAGCCCCATCAAACCTCTAGGGCCCCTGAAAGTATCCTAGAGTCACTCAGAATCTCCACAAAAATCTCCATCAGCTTCCTCACTCTAGCAAAATAACCCTTTTTTCTACAATCCCATTCCCTAGTCTAATGCCTTCCCCACATTTTACCCTATGTTTCTAACAGTCTTCCACCTGACAATCCAGACATTCACTAAACATTTATTGACACTTCCCACTGTTTACTGAGCTACTCTTGGGTTTATCAGCCGTATATATGGTGGTGGTTTTCAGTTCACAAATGGAATGAAGTGAGGGGAGAAGGGAGAAAAATAGAAAATTTTCCTTTTTCTCAAACTTTAGCATTCAAGAGAAATAAAAACTTTCCAATTTAGTTTTATTATTTTTGTCTTGTTTAATTACAAGTATTAAAAGAATATCGTCTCCTTTTTTTTTTCATTGCAAATCTCCAATATTATAGCTATATAATAGATTAAGCAGACTTCTATGAGCCTGACAGAGAACGCACACACACACACACCTATAGTAACACACACATACACAGGGAACTTACATGTTCTTACACATGCAGATATGCATTTGTATTAATATAACATTTTCTATGCAAAAATGTGTTTCTGGGGCAATGTAGAACAGAATAGGTAAAACATCGAGATACATGCCATCAGGCAATTGCTTCTGAGATGTAGAGTTGATCTTACATAATAACAACTCAAATATCTATGTGTATATATATATATATGTATGTATATGTATATGTATATATGTGTGTATGTATGTATATGTATATATATGTGCGTGTGTGTGTATGTATGTATGTATTTGGAACTTTTAAGTTTGACAAAAACACTTTTCTCAAAACAACTCTGTAGGAGTATTATTAGCCCTATTTTTAAATTTAGTTTAGTTTAGTTTTGGCTTGGGGAGGGATGAGGTGAGCCAGTGGAATAGATTGAACTTGTGATTTCATTGGTATTGGGAATTCAACATGAGGAAACACCCTCTGTCAATGCAGATCAGAACCTGGTCTATAACTTATGCTCTTGGTAAGTTAACTAAGATAAGTGAATGCCACTCAACTATTTATTAAACACCTACTTTGTGCAAGGTACTGAACTGAGAACTGGAAGTACAAAGACGAAAAGCGTGAGTCATTTTTCATTGTCCATGGAGGGGCAGCATGGTCCAGTAGCAAGAGCAATGGATTTGGTGTCAGACGACCTGAGGCAGGGGGTGGGGGAGGGAATCAAACAGCACCTCTTCCAATGTCCAATCCATAGGCTCTCTTGGCCTCATTTTCCTCATCTGTGAAAATAAGGAGGTTGTACTATATGACCTCTCGGGTCACATCCAGTCCAGATTCTATGAAAAAATTCCTTTGCCCTCAAGGAGGTTGCAGACGAGTGGGGAGAACACCATATATTTATACAAATTAGTGTAATTCAGGGTAGAATAGGACTGTAGATATGGAGCTAAAAAGGAAGCTCACTTAACCTTTTTAGTGAGTCATCTAGTCTGACTGTTATTTTACAAATGAGGAAATTGAGGCCCAGAGAGGTAAATTAACTTTCCCAAGTTCACACAAGTAACAGATAGCTGAGGTGGGATTCGAACCCAGGTCCTCTGGCTCCAGATGCAGTGCCTTGAATGTGATGAGGACAGAGCAAAAGTGCAAACAAAATGGGAAAACTTTAGGAAGGAGAAATCACTTTTGTCCACATTGTCAGTAACATCTGAGGTGGGTTTTGAAAATAGAAGAGGATTTTGACAGAGGAGATGAGGCAGCCATTCATCCCTAGAATGAGGGGTGTGGGAGAGAAAACACCAACCTGGCCTCATTCATGGAGGCTGGAGAGGAGAGTGAGGTGAGGATCTTCCCAGGACTCTTGGAATAAATAATCCCCGTGTCATTTCACACCCACACAGACATAGTCAACGTTTCTCATAGTGTTCAGTGGTCCTGTAGTCAGTCCAGTAAGGGACTGAGAAAAAAATTAGAAGAATTATCAGAGGAGGAGAACAGTAACTCAGTTTATTCCTGGAGAGTGTGAGAGAATGTTTGGAGACTAAGTAACAGAGGAAAATGAGAAGTGCTAGTAATAATAACCAGTATTTATATAGCCCTTAAAGGTTTGCAAAGAGCTTTCCATACATTATCTCCTTTAATCCTCAAATCCACCCAAATGATGTAGATGCGATTGTTATCCTCATTTTTACAGATGAGGAAACTGAGGCCTAGAGAGGTGAAGTGAGTTGCCCAGGGTCACACAGCTAGTAAATGTCTGAGGCAGGATTTGAGCTCAGTTCTTCCTGACTCCATGACTAGCACCCCCTTGACTAGAACAATGGAAAGAGCATTGGATTTGGCTTTAGATAACATGGATCAGAATCCTGGCTCCCTCACTACTTTGCAACCTTAAATAAATAAGCCTCTCTGGGCCTCTGCTCTCATGTGTAAAATGAAGGATTTGGACGGCGCTCTTCACCTTTTTGGTGTCATAGAACCTGGGGGATTCTAGTGAAGCCAATGGATTCCTTTTTAGAATATTGTTTTCACATGCTTTAAATAAAAGCCAGAGGATTGTAGAGAAAACCACTTATGCTGAAATGGTTGGGTTTTTGGAGTGTATTCTACATAGGTATCTAGGGAATAAAACCCACATAAACTTAGATGCAAAATGCAACTCAAGGGTCTAGTGTAGCTAAAAATAATTCCTTTAAGTTTCTGCTAATGCTCTTTTTTGAGGGGGATACTTTCTTCCCTAATTACACCACTACCCTTCTCCCCGCCCCCCATCCCAGAAGACCCTTGAGTCTAGCTGAGGACTCTGCACTCAAAAATGACTGGCTTTGATGATGAGATGGAGCATAATAGATGCACATCACTGAATTGCTCATCCCTTCTTTATATAAGCACTTACTCACACCCTCAGATACCACTGCTGAGAATGCTGTTCAGGTTTATGACCTCATTGTGTCATTCACTGATCACTTAGAACACAATTTCTGTAAGTAACTTGTAAGAATTCCCCCAGAGGACCTCTTGTTATTTCCATTGCACATCACGCACATTCTCTTCAGGTGAAATGGGTTTGCCATCTCATTAAATGACCGTGCAGTGATGGTTTAGTGAACTGGGCAGGACTGCATGGTGCACAGTCTTTTAGTTCATAATGTGGCTTAGTCACTTTCCTGTCCGTGTTTTTAAAAATATATCAAATAGGATGTTAATGTTGATCCTGGGGAAAGTGACTTCCCCCTTAATAGATCTTAGTAGAGTTTCCTCATCTGTAAAATAAGAGAATTGAACTAGCTGACCTCCAAGAACCTTTCCAGCTCTAGACCTGTGACCCTGGGATACACTTCACTTAGGGAGAGTGTGTGAACCAACTAACATTACTCTGTTGGCTTCTTCACATATAGAAACGATGCATTATTATTGCTTTAAATATTTTGAGGCAGCCCTTTGTTTGAAGTCAAGTAAACATGAGGGGCTCTAAACCATTTGATCAAGAAATGATTTACTCTAATATTTGATCAATCCATGCACTAAAGAATCCCCTAATGGAATTAAACTACTAATGAAGCTCTCTGAGCACCTCATTTGCTCCATGGGAAGTTGCCTTGACATGAAGAAGAGTAGAATATATTTTGTAAGTTTCTTTAAATATGTATTAGCAACCTGGAAAGCACTCTTTCAGTTTGTCACATGTATAATCATATTTAATAATAACAATATTAATAATAATAATTAATTCCATTTAATTTGAAAACCAGAAAAATGTAGACCTTGAAGATCCTAAATAATGTTATATTTTAATTAACCTCATTTGAACCAAGTTGAAGACCTAATTCCTGTTTTCAGAGTTCTTTGTGAAAAATCACTAATAAAAATAAGTATGTTTAAGGTTGATAATTTTCATAAATGTTTAGTGATTTCAGTAACAGACTATACGCATTCATTTTAGAAATCCAAGTGCTTTTTCTCTATCTACACATGGGTAACTGTAGCATTACATATGTGTATCTTTTGGTGAGGGTGGGAATTTATAGGAAAAATAAGATACTGTTTTTGCTGTTCACTGTTGCCCCATTTTTCATTTTGTTCTACCCCTATGGAATTTAACAAAGCACAGAGTTCCAGTCAACTTCAGGTCCTCTTTGCATGGGACAAAGTAACAAGATACAAGCCTTACTTTACTTCTGCCTTATTGCTTAACCATTTTTTAGTTGTTGTTTTTTTTTAAGCTTAATAGTATTTTATTTTTCCCCAGTTACTTGTCAAGAAAATTTTTAGCATTCATTTTTACAAGATTTTGAGTTCCAAATTTTTCTTCTTCCCTCCCCTCTTCTGAAAATGGTAGACAGTTTGATAAGGTTTATACATGTGCTATCATATAAAAAATTTCTATATTAGTCACATTAATCAATTTTTGATTCAAAAAAAAATTAGCAAAACACATTATTCTTGGGTGACTACATTCATATTACACTTTAGTGTTTTTGACATAACTTGATTTCATCACTCAAGCTTAAAAACTTCTGAGTAGCCTTCTTTGACCATCAAAAATCTTTTCTTCTCCACACCCACAAGAAGTGACCAGGACTGAGGAAGCAAATCTTAAACCATTAGCCCCACCTCAGATAACAAGTAAGGATTAAACCAAAAGGTAAAAATAGGGACATGGATGGGGCAGCTAGGTGGCGCAGTGGATAGAGCTTTGGCCTTGGAGTAAGGGGGACCCGAGTTCAAATCCAAACTCAGACACTTGATACTAGCTGTGTGATCCTGGGCAAGTCACTTAACACCCATTGCCTCACAAAATTGGAACATGGAATAGAGGTGCATTCTGCATCGTCTGTTGAGAGTGAAGACGTCATATTTCCTGGTAAGGCTAGGGTATGTTGCAATTTTGAGACAGTGGACACAATTTAGACCCAATATGCAACAATTTACTGCTGTTTCAACATTTCATTAGTTTGCTAAGGTGAGGTGTTTTATGTCTTATCAAATAATAAAGTAAATCTCTTAAGATGCATGGCAAAATTTAAAAAATGTGCCAATTAACTTTTAACTTACAAGCTTCACATTTTCTTTTAAAGGATGGATAGAAAACAAGTTCCCAAGTTCTAAGGTGTTTCTTTTTGTGGCCAATCACTGTCGTTCACTCTCTCTTTTTCTTTATGCATCACATAAAAAGAAAATTTGTTGAAATGGTGTTGCTATGCAAAATTGAGTGTAGAATTAAAGGAACATGCTCATTAAAACGGTGACCTTTTAAGTTTGATTAGTAAAATTACCAAGGGCAGTTACTGCCCTATTATGCCTCATCAGTAGGTAGGTTCCCTTCATAGTTCCCCTGCTGAGATTGTGGTTTAAAGTCTCCAGGATATTAGGAAGTCTATAAGCTAAATGTGGAGATTTGAGTAATTATTTCTGAAACTAGGAGAAAAAAAAGGTTGTGGTGTGTGCTATTTTTTTCATTTGGGAAAATATTTGTGTTTGTTAAGGTACAAAAATGAACTAGTATTCATGCTAGAAGGCTAAGATTAGAAACATATGTGGATTTGTCTCCTTAGAGATGTTTTAGCATCATTTGTGACATGTAGTACAAAGCAATATCTTCAACAATGCCTTGTTTTATATATCTTGTTTACAGAATTCTCCCAATAATATGAGCCTGAGTAATCAGCCTGGCACTCCAAGGGATGATGGTGAAATGGGGGGAAATTTCTTAAATCCTTTTCAGAGTGAGAGTGTAAGTATTTTTTGGTTATATTATTATACAGACATTAGATCCTAAAATAAGAAAAATGTATATGTCAGTCACAGAGCATTTATTCAGCACTATGCTAAATGCTGGGAATATAAAGAAAGCCAATTGTGTTTGGATGAAGCAAAGCACAAATTAAAATAAAAATGATATCTCATTAACTTGCCATAATAAATGTTTATGTTCTACTTTGTTCTTTCATTTTCCTTTCCTCTACTCATTTTCTTTTAATTTTTTTTACCTGAACATAACATGTAATTGCTGCATACAAAGCAGAGGATAAAAAGATGATTGGTTATGAAACCATGAATCTCTATTCAATACTCCTTTCTTTTTTAACAAATATATAATAAATTCGGCATGTTACTTTCAAAGCTGTCCTGCTTGTCTGTACTTCCTAATAAACTTCCTTCTATTTTTTTTGTGTGCATTAAAAAATATATGTTTCCATGGCCCCCTTTTTTCTTATCTTTATTTTAGTATTACTATTGGTAATCCTACTCAGCAAATCCCATTCCCCAATAGTAAACTGGGGAGGGGGGATTCTTTGTAACAAAAAAAGCACAGTAAAGCAAAACAAATCCACACAGTGGTCCTCTTTGAAAATGTATCTCATTGTGCTGCTTGAGCTTCTCTGTCAGGACGTTGGTCATATTCTTCATTGTAGGTTTTCTGGAGCTGTGTTTAGCCATTACTTTGATAGGTTCTCCCGTTTTCCTCATCTCTTATCACTCATATACCTCTGCCACTATTTCTTCCTTCTCGCCTATCTCACATAAGGAGTAAGTGGCCTTACTCCTTACCAAGGTTAACTCCTATACCTATGGAAGAAATCCAGTTCCATCCTTTCTCCTCCAGTAGATTACCCCATATGTCATCCCATTTTATCCCTCATTTTCATTCTTTCTCTTTCTGTTCTACCTACAAACATGCCCATGTCACCACCATGCTGAAAAGACCCTCACTTGGAAAGGAAAAATCACTCTCATCCCCACTAACTATTGTCCTGTGTTGTCCTTTCCTTTGTGGCGAAATTCCTTGAAAAGGCCATTTACAATAGGTACTTCCACTTTCTCTCCTCTCACTCACTTCTTAACCCCTAACAATCTGGCTTCCAGCTTCATCATTGCATTCAAACTGCTCTCTCCAAAGTTACCAATGATCTCTGAGTTGTCAAATCCACTGGCCTTTTCTTAATACTTGACTTAATGCTTCTTGACTCTGCAGCCTTTGATAGCGCTGATCATCCTCTTCTCTCTAGGTTTTCAGAACACTCTTCTCTCTTGTTTTTCGTTTTATCTATCAAACCTCTCCTTAATCTTCTTTGCTAGACCTTTATCCAGGTTATGCCCACTAACAGTAAGTGTCCCAGAGGATTCTGTCCCAGGGCTGTCTTTGTCAACCTTGTCAAAATCAACGTTCCTAGTTGTTGTTGTTGTTGAGTCGTGCCTGACTCTTTGTGACGCCATTTGGGGTTTTCTTGGCAGATATACTGGAGTGGTTTGCCATTTCCTTTTCTAGTTCAAGATGAGAAAACTGCAGCAAATAGGGTTAAGTGACCTGCCCAGGGTCACACAGCTATTGAGTGTCTGAGGCTGGATTTGAACTCAGGAAGATGAGTCTTCCTGACTCCAGATCTGGTACTCTATCCATTATACCACCTAGTTGCCCCATGCATTCCTCTTACTCCTTAAAATCTTCAGAACACCCTCAGGTCCTGTGTTGGTCCTATTTAACCTCTTCAGTACACTTTGAAGACATCATGATTCTTATGGGATATTTGTTTCTTTTGCCCCTGTTGGAATGTTAGCACTTCATCATCATATAATCCCTTCCAGTTACTCAATAAGGTTTCTCTTGGCTCTGCATTTCACAGTTCATACTCAGCTCTAGTCTTTTCATTGCAAGTACTTAAAAGTCATCACTTCCATTAAAGATCCATTTTTCTCCTATAAGATTATACTCTGTTTTGCAATAATTCTTCATTGTAAGTTCATGTATTTTGCTTTTTATAATATTGTATTCCCAAGATCTCTCATTTATTGTTGAAGCTGCCAGGTTTGGTGTCAACTACAGTGCATGAACTCTTTTCTGGCTGCTTGCAGTATTTTTCATTGTTGTGGAAGCTCTGGATTTTGACTGACATTCCTGGGACTTTGGGGGTTTCATTCAGGAGATGATCAGTGGGTTCTTTCTATTCCCATTTTGCCCTCTGGTTGGTTCTAACACATATTAGCAGTTTTCAATTATGATTTCTTGAAAGATAATATGCAGACTTTTTTAACCATGGTTTTTGAGGATTCCAATAATTCTTATATTATCTTTCTTTGACCTTTTCTCTAGATCAGATATTTTTGATAACCAATATATTTTCTTCTCCTTTTTTAAATCCTTTGATTTTGTTCCAGTATCTCTTGCTGTCTCTTGAAATCATTGATTTCTTTTTTGATCTATTCTAACTTTTAGGAAGTCTCTTACTTGGGTAAGAATTGCTTTCTGTTCTAAGGTATTATTTTCCTTCCAGTTTGTTCCCCTAGACATTTTATTTAATTTTTTATTTTGTTTCATTTCTTCTAGGTATGTTATCCTTGTGAAAAATCCATTTTTCTTCCTTTGAGTCTCTACTTTTAGTATTTTTGGCTATCTCTGGATCTGTAAATAGTTCTCCATAATGCTTTGTGTCATCATATATTCATCCTTAATTTTTGAATTTGGGTTTTCTGCCGAGGACCACTCTTCACTACAGGTTGGGGCCATCAGCACTGCTTGGTTTCAGCCTAGTTCACCTGGGCTTCTACACTTACCTCTGCTTCTCAGGACATGTCTACACTAAAAGCTCTACCAACTGTTTATGCACCCTGGATTTTTAAGTTTTAAAGTGCTGGATCTTCGTGATCCTCCATGACATCTTAGGACACACTGCTAGGCACCTCAGAGTGTCTGGGACTGGGCTTCTCATTCTGAGCACTGCTGTGCCCAAACTGGTTGCTGCCACTCCTCTTTGATTTCATAGTCCACACAACCACTGTGGATCTTTTTGGGAGGAACCTTTTGCTCTTACTGCTTCTGGATGATGTCACTTACCATAGCCTCTCATTGAATTACTTAGTCATTATTCAGTCTGCTGCTGTTTTTAAGTTCTTCAGGGCTGCATGCCTCCATCCAGTCAGCCATCTTGGTTGGAAGCCCTCCATTCTCTTGTTTTCTGAGTCCTTTTCTGTTAGCACATCGTGACATGGAGGTGACCAACTGTGGGTTTTGTAAAGCCATATCAGGGTGGCACAGTCCTGGCATTTCATCTTACCAAGCTTCAAAACCTTTGAGTATGGACCCAAAAGACTCTGTGTATTGTCCAAAGGCAGCCTTGGGTTAAAGAGGCTTATCACTGAAAGTTGTTTACTAGCTGATATTTTTAGATGGAAGAATCAGGATGACTCCAAGGTTGTGAACATAAATGTCTGGAAAGATGGGAACACAAGTTTGGAAGAGGTAATATCTGTTCCATTTTGGATATGTGGATTTTGAGATGCCTGTAGGACAGGCAAGTAAACATGCCCAACAGGGAGTTAGTAATGAAGGACTAGAATTTAGGAGAAAAATCACCACTACATATGTACACTTAGAAGTAATATGCATAGATATAATCCTTGAAGCCACAGTTCAATGATGAGGCTACTGAAGGCACAAAGTTCAAAGGAAGTAGAAATGACACAGGACAGAGCCTTTAGGGACATCTACATTATAGTCTACAGAAAGAGAATGATCTAGCAATGAAGACAGAGAAGGGATGATCAAACAGGGTAGAGGAAGAAAATGAGGTCAACAATAGCAAAGACTGTAGTGCAGTTAAGCAGAAAGGAGTTGGTGATAAGGCCATTGGATTTAGCATTTAAGAGGTAACTGATAAACTTGGACAGAGCTATGTCAGTTGAATGATGGAGTTGGGAACAGACTACAAGGGATTAATGAAAGAGTGACTAATAAGGGAGTATAGATGACTCTTTAGAAGGTTAATCACTATGAAGGAAGAAGAGATATAAGACAATGACTTGAGGGCTTGAACCAGGTGAAGTGAAGAATTTTTAAAGATTGAGTAGATCTGAACATATCTGTAGACAGCAAGAAAGGATTTAGTGAATAAAACAAGATATAAAGTGAGAGAAAAAGAGGGGATGTTCAAGGGAGAATGATCCCAGAAGGGATGGGGACCAAGAACACAAGTGGAAGATTGACTTTGACAAGGCTGACAAAGAGAAAAGCCACTTTTTCCCGAAAGACTAGAGCAAAAGAGGAGTGGTTAGAGAATGATGAAGATTTTTTGAGGTTTGTGATGTAGGGAAAAAGACGAAACTTCATAGAGATGACCTGTATTTTCTCAGCAAAGTAGGAAATGAGGTCTTCTGGATAAGGGTGTCAAGGAATAGGTAGGGTATGGGAAAATTGAGAAGACACAGGTCCAGAAGAGCCACTGAGGGGAGTGTGATAAAGAATCAGTAAGGGAAAAGTAAAAGGGTTGATTGTTATGCAGCCCATTTGAGATTACATAACATAAATATACAGGTAACAACCCATTCAGCATGGTTACATGACTTCCTGTTGCAGTTTTCAGCATCACAGCAGTGAGAACAGAGATGGTGCATGGTGTGACCAATCTAGGCTTGGGAGTGGCAAGACAGTGGGAAATAGGAGCAGGAGGCCAGAGATTCAATGTGTTTGAATTACTTAGCAAAATTAAGATTGAGCAGGGATGGGGGCAGCTAGGTGGCCCGTGGATAGAGCTCTGGCTTTGGAGTCAGGAGGACCTGAGTTCAAATCTGGACACTTAATAGCTGTGTGACCCTGGGCAAGTCACTTAATCCCGATTGCCTCACAAAAAAAAAAAAAAGATTGAGCAGGGATAGCCCACAGGGAAAGCATAGAGGGGTGGAAGGATTAGATATCATAATGAGAATGAAGAATAGGTTTAGGAGGAGTGAGGGAAAGGG